AAAAAAAAAAAAAAAATTGGTATCCTGGCTTGGGGATAGGGGCCCGTAGCACAGTGGTTATAACATCGGCCACATATACCCAGGCTGGCAGGTTCAAACCCATCCTGGGCCCACTAAACAATGACAACTGCAACAACAAAAAATAGTTGGCATTGTGGCAGGTGCCTGTAGTCCCAGCCCCTCGGGAGGCTGAGGCAAGAGAATCGTTTAAGCTCAGGAGTTTGATGTTGCTGTGAGCTGGGACGCCAAGGCAATCTACTGAGGGTGGCATACTGAGACTCTGTCTCAAAAAAAAAAAAAAAATGGTATCCTTAGTAAGACCATCTGAATTTGGTAAAAGAAGCTAAAAAACAGAATCACAAACAAAAAATTGTATCTTTTATTATTTTAGTAAGGTTACAGAAAGGAACAGAGGCTTTTTTGTTTTTTTAGAGACAGAGTCTCACTTTGTCATCCTCGGTAGAGTGCTGTGGCATCACAGCTCTCAGTAACGTTCAGCTCTTGGGTTCAGGCGATTCTCTTGCCTCAGCCTCCCTAGTAGCTGGGACTACAGGTGCCTGCCACAACGCCCAGCTATTTTTTTGTTGCAGTTGGGCCAGGCTTGAACATGCCACCCTCAGTATGTGTCACTGACCCACAGGCGCCGCCCGGAGGCTATTCTTATATATGCTATCTTCAATTGGTATTTTGCCTGAATCTGTAAACCTTTTTTGAGCTAAAAGGATATTAAGTCCATTCAGACACACAATGAAACTGAACGGGTCCTCTTATTCTTTTCTTTATAGTCTTGTCTTCAGCACCCAGTAAGGAAACTAGAGAAAATGATAAAAACTTCTTACTGCACGAACCTTAAATTGTGATGTAATGGTTCACAACACAAGCCTTTGAACAGTTTTGGTCTTGATTTTTGTCACTGATTTTGCTTCTTAAAAACAGATGTGTGCATTTTTGATATTTTACACTCATTTTACTATTACCAGCATCCCAAAGACTAGTTATGCGGAGTATATATTGCCCAGTTTTAGGGACTGGGGAATTTAATAGAGACGATCCCGCCTATGCCTGGAGTTCCCAGTCTGGTTTACTGTAAGAGAATACTGATTGTTGTTTTCCCCAATTTTTCCTCATGTCCCTTTCCTCAGAATTTCCTTTCCTATTTAAATTACTCTGCCTTTCTACTTGCATTATGAAATTTATTTTGGCTTCTACCTGCCTGTTTCTTATGCATTAATTTAAAAGAATGAAAAAGCTCATAGAACTAAGTTAGGCAGAAGGGTCTTCCTTCAAAATGGTTAGGCTGAACTAAAGCATTGTTTTGGAGCTTGTTCACAGACGAGGCAAAATTGGTTATCCTGACATTACTTCAAGCGCCAAAACCCCTGTTTATTCCTCATAAGATGTGTGGCCGTTCTTGATACCTCTAGCTCCCACTTCAAAATTCCTTTCTGTTACGCGTCACAGGATCGATTCCCGGCAACTGTTGCTAATTTCTCGGCTCTAGTCTTATGGGTACAGTACTTTAAAATTTACAGAATGCTCTGGAGCACGTATTGACGGTGATCCTCACAATCGTATCCAGCAGCAGGGCCAGGTACTCAGAGGTCACGGGCTGGTGGGTGTACGTAGGTAGCCGCAGCGTCCAGGAGCCAAGCGCGCAGCACGGCCTTGGCGCACAGCGAAGGCGGCTTCGGCTCCGCCTGCCCGAGCAAGGCCCAGCTGAACGTCCCACACCGGATGCTAGTTCCCATTTGGGCACAAACATCAATTCGCAGCCTTTGAATCCCTTCAGCTGGGGTCTCCGGCAACCTGTCGGCATCGCTGTTTCGGAACTGCCATGAGCGTCTGGCCCGGGGAACGCGCGCCGTCCTGCTTTACGGCGAGGGTGCGCGCGTTTGCGACACCATGACGCCAGGACGTTTTGGCGGGAAAAGAGCTGCATTTGGATTCCTGTGGCGGCGGGCAAAGGACAGCCTGGTGAGGAAAGGCGGCCAGTAGGGTGGGAAAAAGGATTTTGGAGGAGGAGTTCGGGGGTCTAATTAGTGAGGAAGGGCACAGTGACAGGAAAGGAGCAGTGACAGGCGAAAGAGGGTGGGGAGACTCCCGCGGAGGGGCGGTTTCGGAGGGTGGATGGAGGTATGTGGTGCCAGGAGGTCCTTGTTGTAGAGGAAGGACGGGAAACACTCCAGTGCTGGCAGGGAACCCCAGAAATTTGGGCGCTGTCCTGGTTCCCCTGCCCTTATTTCCGCTGATGGGGCAGTTTGGCCCCGCCCCGGCTCCTCCCGTCCTTTGGGGGTGGGGTGGAATTGGAACTGAGCAAGTAGCAGGGAGGCTCTGCTGCAGGCAGCATTTTTTCGCACACCTCCCCCTGCCCCCAGCCTATACCTCCTTACTCTCCACACCCTCTCTCCCACCCCTCCCTCTGTCGTTCCCTAGAAACCATTTGTTCCTCAACTCCTCACTACGCTATTAAATTTCCTCTGTCTTCATGAGGGTAGAGTTTCAGCCTTCGGTGTGCGTGGGAATAGGGATTGTGATTTACAGGAGAAACACACGAGAAAATGGCTAAGTTGTGAGTACTTGCTTTTGCTTTAAAGACCTGTGTTTTAAGTATGGATGAGCTGGGCTGGGCGGTTATTTGTAGTGGGAGTCATGCAAATGGCAGGGCTCAGTGGCTTTACAGATGATTTTGCACTCATCCTTCAGTTTTCCCGGATTCCTTTTCCAGCTGCGGCGCTGGGAGGAGCCATGGCAGTGCCCTTTGTGGAGGACTGGGACTTGGTGCAAACCCTGGGAGAAGGTGCCTATGGAGAGTGAGTTTGAGTCTCTTCACACTTGCTTTAGTTTTCTGTTTGTTGTCTGAGTTGTGGAGTTGTTATTCTAATTGAGCGGTCCCTTAGAGAATAGATTTCTGTGTTTGAAATCCAAGACTATGGCAACTTAAGTTATACAGTTTTGTCTGAGGATTGTTTTTTTTTTTCTTTTCCTTTTAAAGCATTTTCTTTGTAAAGAGCTGGAAGAGACAGTGCAGTCATTGTCTGTCCTCCCACATACATGTCTGTCTTCTTGAGGGTTAAGTGTAGTGGTTAAAACACCCTCAAGGGTGTCTGCCTTGTTTCAAATCCTCACTCTATCACATACCGGCCATTGTTTTGTGATGGGAAGCAAGTCCTAAAGTCGTTGTGTACCTCTGTTTCCTCATTTATAAGATGGCAACATTAGTATCTACCGGATAGGTGCTTAGACAGTTACTACAGACTACATTCATATCAATATATGAAAGAAACATGTTTGCAGGGGCTGGGTGCTTGAACTCAGTGGTTAGAGCACCAGCCCTGGGCACCAGGGGTGGCAGGTTCGAACCCGGTGCAGGCCTGTTTAACAAACAAAAAAAACTAAAACATGTATCTTAAATGATGTGGCCTAGAATGGATAATATCTCAATTTAGTTTATCAAGCCTTTGCTAAATGCCTTTTGTATGTACAGCAGAATGACTTCTTTGGAGTGTTAGCTGTTGTACTTCACCTTTCAGAAAGGAGTAGTATCTGTTGAGAACATGGCAGAAACTATTTCCTTGGTTTCTCCTTGGTGGAGAAAGTAATAAAGGTAAAATAGCTTTGGATGAGTCATAGTTAATCTTTTGAAATTCCGTAAGAAATGGAATTCAAATGCTTGTAATGTCATAACCCTTTTCTTTTCCCTTTTTAGAGTTCAACTTGCTGTGAATAGAATAACTGAAGAAGCAGTTGCAGTGAAGATTGTAGATATGAAGCGTGCCATAGACTGTCCAGAAAATATTAAAAAAGAGATCTGTATCAATAAAATGCTAAATCATGAGAATGTGGTGAAATTCTATGGTCATAGGCGAGAAGGCAATATCCAATATCTGTTTCTGGAGTACTGTAGTGGGGGAGAGCTTTTTGACAGAATAGGTATGGAAAAGATTCAAAATAATTATTCTATTAAGCAGTTTTCTGAACTTGTATTTTTAATCTTTGATATGCTGTTTGGTCATTGTTTTCAGAATTGCTTATGCGACAGTGAAATTGAAGTAAATTGCCTCCTTGTTTTGCACTTTGTATTAACACATGAAAGCATACATAGAGTAACTGAAAGAAAACTTTTCCCTCAAGTTATATAAGTGATTTGATGGGAATTGCTTTTTTATATAATTTAAGAATAAGAAACTGTAGTGTCATGCAATGTATTGTGTGCTTAACACAATTTTTTCATAGACATTCTAGTTATGTGAGATGATTATATACATTTATAGATCCAAAACAGTAGCAAGTTTTATTTCCTTTTTATTTGTTTAAATGAAATAGTTGAGAATGTTCTAAGATTGCTTTATATAGAATAGAGCCTCTGTAAGTCGATCACCCAAGGAACTGTAACAAACTGGTTAACATATGGAGATGGTCAACATAAGGAACTAGGCCTTCTGTACCGATAAGTATATGTGGTGCATGTCCAGATTACAAAAATTAGGTCAACGTAAGGAGGTGGGAAAATATGGAGGTTCTGCTATATTAAGTAAATTCTATGCTTGCTACTTAAATGTTCTATAAAGATTCAAAGGATTGATATTACAGGACCCTGGGAAGTATGTAAAAATATTCTATGGATCTAAATTTATTATTTAAAGTTATTGTATTAACAGTTAAAAACTGATTACAGGTGGTAGAATTTCTAATATAAGTATCAGGAGAGAATTGGGATAAAAAAAATCAAGAGGTAAAGAGATAAAAATATAAAAAGATCACTGACAAAAGAACATTTGTTAGTAAAACTTTCCTGAAGGAGCTTCACAGGCATTCATGGCTTTATAGTGTGGAATTATATGAAGTTTTGTCAATTTTTTTTTCACTATCCCCTTCAGTAGAATGAGTGAAATTTAAATCAGTTAAATACTTGTGAAATTGTCTTAGATTTGTGCAGAATTATTCTTGGATAACTATTTCAAGAATGGGAAAAATATTGGTATAACTTAGAAGAAATGGGGGAGAAAGCAGATAAGTCAGTTAGTAGAAGAGTAAGTGGGCTTTTAAAGCATGGTGCCATTCTTAATTTGAAAGATTGTTTGTTTGTTATTTCTCTGTAATTTCTGTGATGCTAGCTTATTTTTGCAGAAGTGAATATGTGAGTTAATTTCTGTATGTTGTCAGTGGACACCTGAATCTTTTGTTGGTATTTGATTCAGTTTGCTGAAAGTATAGACACAGATGTTTAAGCTTCAAATTAAGCAGTGCTGTGGTCAAGGCCTGGCTTATATTCATCCAGTAAACTAACTTTTAAAATTAATTGTTATAGAACCAGACATAGGCATGCCTGAACAGGATGCTCAGAGGTTCTTCCATCAACTCATGGCAGGGGTGGTAGGTACAGTTATCTCTTTTTTTGTTACTTAAAATTAGTACAAATGAAATAAGTTGCCAAATTCTGGTGTGTTTTCCTCTGTTTCACACTTAGGTTTATCTACATGGTATTGGAATAACTCACAGGGATATTAAACCAGAAAATCTCCTATTGGATGAAAGGGGTAAGTTTAGCATTTTGTTGTTGTTACCTAAATTATTTTAATACAGATATACAAGGCAGGTTCAGGTCTTTTGCATTACTGAAATTTCTTGAGACCAATTTGGGAGACTTAGTATATTTAAATTGCACAGGTATTTTATGATACAGTTGTGGATGATGAAGAGAGGTCTGAGTTAGGTGCAAGACTAAGTTAAATATAATAATAGACGCAAACAGTTCTTTAATGGATCAGTAAAAGGAAACTTCTATTGGAATACCCTGGATGTTAGCCTTGTTCTCTTTATCCTTTTTCATTTATGACTTCGATAAAGATATAAGAAATTGGAGGCGCCTTTGGGTCAGTGAGTAGGGCGCCAGCCCCATATACTGAGAGGGTGGTGGGTTTGAACCCGGCCCGGCCAAACTGCAACAAAAAAATAGGCATTATGGTAAGCGCCTGTAGTTCCAGCTACTTGGGAGGCTGAGGCCCCGGCCAAACTGCAACAAAAAAATAGCCAGACATTATGGCGAGTGCCTGTAATTCCAGCTACTTGGGAGGCTAAGCCCAAGAGCTGGAGGTTGCTGTGAGCTGTGATGCCACTGCACCCTACCAAGGGTGACAAAGTGAGACTCTGTTTCTACAAAAAAAAAAAAAAAGATATAAGGTATATGTTACAAATTTCATTAAACTGAAAGGAATGGATAGGGCAATCGTTAACTTATAGAGTCAGGATCACAAAAGATGACAAATGTCAGCTATACGAGGCAGTGGTTTTTGTCTGTTTTGTTTAATGCTCTATTCTTAATGTTAGTGCCTAACAGTAGGCTTTCAAGAATATCTGTTGAGTCAATGAATTTAGCATACCAAAAAGGTGGGTCAAATCTAACAAGTTGTTTCTAATAGGGAAAAATTTAAGCTCCAGTATTTGTTTTTTTTTTTTTTTTGGAGACAGAGCCTCAAGCTGCCCCCCTGGGTAGAGTGCCATGGCATTACAGCTCACAGCAACCTCCAACTCCTGGGCTCAAGCGAGTCTCCTGCCTC